TTTATAAGAAAGATGGATCTAGATTGTTTTATTGTGCTATTCTTTCCCAGCTTGTTTCAGAACCCTATCATAGCCTCATAGAATCAGATAGGTAGCTTGCCTCCTCCCTTCCTGTTTCTGAGAAAGCTTCAGAGGTTAGGGGTGCTCTGTCCCTGGTAGGCCTGATACAGACCGAGCGTCCCTTGTCCAACATGCTTGGGCCCAGACGTGTTTCAGATCTGAGAGGTTCTGGATTTGAGGATGTCTGCATGGACTTTACTAATTGAGCAGCCCTGATCTGAAAATCTAAATCTGCAATGTTCCAAACTCTAAAACAGTTGAATGGAACTTCACAGCATTTTAGATTTTTGAAGCAGGGACACTCAGCCTGTATAATTTTGGGAAGTGGGTAATTTGGGCAGACCAAGCACTTATTGGTGCTTTAATTTATTCAATAAGCTTTTAAAAATTCCATCTTTTCAGGCCTGGTGGTGCACGCCTATAATCCCAGCCCTTGGGAGGCTGAGGCAGGAGGATCACAATGCTTTTAAGGCCACCCTGGGCTACATAATAAGTTCAAGACCAAGCTGAACTACACAGTGAGACCTTGTCTCAAGAAACCAAAATAACAACAACAGCAATAATAATAATCCCCCTTGAGTCAATTTTGACAGTGTATTTTGTCTTTATAAATTGTTTAGTTTATCTGCATGTTTATGTTTTGACAATAACTGTATTGTCTTAGTTACTTTTCTCATTGCTGAGACAAAATCCCCAACACCCAAAGTTACAGGAAGAAAGGTTTATTTGGCTCAGAGTTTGTAGAGGTTTCAGTGCTTAGTTGGCGGGCTCCAAGGCAGAGGGACCTGGCAGGGGGATCTCCCAGAGGAGGAACAGTCCATGGCAGGGCAGGCAGGAGACAGAAGCAGCAAGAGCTAGCTTGGCTTTCACTTTTATCCCAGACAGGCTACAAACCTATTGATTGGTGCCACCCATACCCAGGATTGGGCTTCTATTACCCACCCTCTTGGCCCCAGTATTGCACCCTAAATCCACATTCACAACCCTAACCCAGTGTTACACTGAAAAGCTTTGGGGGCCGGGGATATAGCTCAGTGGCACAGTGCCTGCCTGGCAAGCGTAAGGTCCTCAGTTTGATTCCCAGTGCCAAAAAAATAAAATAAAATAAAATATAAAAGCTTTAGGGCTGGGGATACAGGTCAGTGGTAGGGTATTTGCCTAGCATGTGCAAGGCCCTGGCTTTGATCTCTAGCACTGCTAGAAAAAATTTTTTTATAAAGTTTGAAATCTCTTCTGCAGTTCCATCTCCTTTGGGAAGTTCTAAATACTGGCCCTGTCTCAAACTTAGTTTCATTGGGATTTCTGTGATGTGGTAGAAAATGTCAATGGATTTAAATATGACTTAACACATTTACTATATAATAGGGTTGAGGTCCTGTTGCTTGATTATAAATATAAACATATACTCATTGTTTTAATATTTGAAATATATATATACATATATATAATAGTATAATTAAGATTAAAAGTAATCACTGTTAATATTTTGGCATGTGCCCATTTCCCCCTATTCATATGTATCATATCCATAAATAAATTTTTCTTTTTTTTTTTTTTTTTTTTTTTTTTTTTGTTATCGGGAATGGAACTTAGGACCTTGCACTTGCCAGGCAGGTGCTGTGCCACTGAGCTAAATCCCCAGCTCCCCCATAAATTTTTAAAAGTAAGTTTGAGATAGTACGGCACATACTTTTTTCCTCACTGAATATGTTATAGGATAGCTTCCTTAGCCTGCCCATTCAAAATCCAGCATTACAGCCTGGTGTGGGGGCACACGCCTGTAATCCCAGCACTCGGGAGGCTGAGGCAGGAGGATTGTTGCAAGTTAGAGACCAGCCTGGGCTACAAAGTGAGTTCAAGTCCAGCCTGAACTGCATAGTGAGACTCTGTCTCAAAAAGACAAAAAAAAAAAAAAAAAAAAATCCAGTGTTACAAAACCTAATGATTTGAGTCTGTTATCTCAGCACTCATGACATGAGTGGGGCTAGGGATCACAGCAGATACCAGACCTCAGGTTTGGTCCCCAGCACCACACACACAAAAACGTATGGATTAGAGATGCCTAATAGGTAAAATCTATTGAATATTCCTAAATCCAACAAAGACCCACATCTGAAACTCTACTAGTCCAATATATGTCAGATAAGAGATACTCACCCTGTGTAATCATCTGCCCATATCATTAAATATTTGAAAGTATATATTTAAATAGCTGTATAAAATTCCCCTCTTCCTGGTGGTACAGCTGGGTGTGGTGGCACACACCTGTAATTCCAGCACTCAGGAGGCTGAGGCAGGAGGATCAACATGAGTTTGAGGCTACCCTTGGCTATACAGTGAGTCCAAGGCCAACCTGAACACATAGCAAGACCCTGTTCCAAAAAAAAAAAAAAAAATATGTGTGTGTGTGTATATATATACATATGTTCCCCTCTTGCTGTGTTCTGTAAGTTTTTTCTTAACAAATACCCTGTTTTTGAACCTTTGGGCCTTCAGCGATGAGTCTTTGAATCTTCGATGATTTCTTAGGCTGGATTCTCAGAAGTGCATTTCAGGGGGGCAAAGGGTGTGTGTGCATGCGGGGGCTGCCAGGCTCACCCGTTCGCATCTGTTCCTCTCTTTGCAGCAGCCCACGCATCCTGTGTACAACATTGGACCTGACAAGGTGATCCAGGCCACCACGTACTTCCTGCAGAAGCCGGTCCCTGGCTTCGAGGAGCCTGAGGATGAGGGGACAGCTGAGACTCCAAGCCACTAGAGGATCCAGGCCGAGCTCTGTGCGCCCCACTTCCCACTCAGACAAGGTTTCATGTTCGGTACATAGTGCGTTCTTTGCTCCAAAGCCTTAGCTGTTGTGGAGCTGTGGTTTTCTTTGTCCTCTCCTGTCAAAACAAAGCCACTGGCTCTTGGTTTGGAGTAAATAGTGGCGAGGTTCTTAAAAATTCTTTTCATCCCTATCAAAACAAAAACCTGCCCACCTGCCCGTGCAGCGAGGTGGGGAGCAGTGCATGCTGGGAGGAAGCCGCCCCTCCCACTGGCCCTCCAACCTGGGTAGCCACACAGAAACAGACGGTGTCTGAGTGTCACAGCATGCAGCGCCATTGCTGTGACTCCCATCTGCACGGCCGTGTTAAATCTCCAGATGGGAACCCTCCCAGGGTGGAAATCAGGCCGCTTCCTGCTGAGGTGTGGGGCTCTGGTGCCCACAAAACGCATTCCCTGGAAAAGACTGTGTTGGGGCTCATTTAGGAGGTGCTTCTGCCTCTCACCTTCCACCCTAGTCATTTTCAAGGGACAGGAGCTGAGGTGGAGGGACGAATGTCTCCCTGAGTTGAGAGTCACTCCCCTGCAGAACTGGAGATCTGAGCCCGGCACCTCTCCAAGGCCGAGCGAGGGCACAGGCAGACTTGCTTCGGCCCAGGTGTGGTGACTTAGACCTGGGAGACCAGTTATGGGTAGAAATGCCCCCTGGTTCCACCCTTGGCCAGAGGAAGCAGCCCCTGTGCGTCCGCCCATCGTGTACCGAGAACGTCCCCCAGTATCGGCAGGGCAGCGCCTGCGGCCCAGGGCTCCTCTGTGTGTTTCTTTCTTTCTCCAGCCTCCCAGCCCACCCTCCTCCAAGCAGTGTTGTCTTTCCCACCCAGCGTATTAACACTACTAAGTCTTTCCCCTTAATTTATGACTCAGGATTCATTCTCATCCTGCCCACTCTAGGCTCAGAGATGTCAAATCAAGTGCTAGACAAACCAGCTGCTGCGGGGCCGGGGCCCGGATGTAGGCCCCGGTGGGGCCTCTGCTGCCTCTTACACTGAGCCCTTGCATGGTCGGTGGGGTGCTGAGCTTGGTCGTCATCCGCTGCCGCGGCAAGCTCCAGGTCACTGTCCCGCCTTCGTGCGTGCACCGTGGACTGCAGGCAGACAGGAGCTCAGAGATGCAGCGTGAGGCTCTTTTCAGAACGACTGGCCACTCGCTGCCTTGAATTCCCTATTGCTTCGGCGCACTGGGCTATGTGTTACCTCCTTGAGATAATAAAAGAATAACGTTTTCTATGACATAGTTTGTTTTGTTTTTGTTTGTGGTGCTGGGACTTGAACCCAGTGCGTTATGCATTCTACGATATCTCTTAGGTGATCTCTACCAAGAAAATCGTTCAGAATGCCCAAGACAGGAAGTTACCAAAGGCCGCCCGTGGGATTGCTGGTCTCCTGTGTGCAAGATTCCCGGCCATCCCTGGGCAGTTCAGGGTCGGACACGAGTCTGCCTCTCATGCTGCTCCTCCAGTCGAGCAGCCAGTGGGCCCAAGAGCAGCGCTGCTTTGCAGACCCGCGGCACAGTTCCTTTACTTTGCGCCCCTGCCTCATTTCCTCCCGGTGCTCCTCAGCCGCAGCGCAGGCGTTGCACCCTGTGGGCAGGGTGACCCAGGGACGGGCGGGATCCTGTGGCCACCTGGATTTCCCACGTTTCCCCCTGTCTCCAGGAAGGCCAGGAAGCTAGGTGCTCGCTCTGTGGCTTCCCTTGAGAGGAGAGGGTGTCCGCAGAGGACATGCGCATCCACACAGCCCACCACACCCTACATCCTGGAATGCACTTCCTGCCCCCTGTGCTATTTTTGCTTGCGAACAAAGGTTGGGCTGCAAAACAACATTCTGCAATTCATCCTTCCCCTCAGGGCACCAGAAGGTGAAATGCTGTCAGCCCGGAGCCTGGGGTACCTCGAGATGAACTGTGTAATCACTGGTGCGATTAAGCAGAAGGCACTGCTGAGGGCTGACCTGGCTTCCTACCAAGGGGCTGGACGCAGGAGCGGAAGCGGGCTGGAGAGAGGAGAGAGGGCCGCGTCCTAGCACTGTTCTCTCGGTGCTGGCGTTGGCATTTCCCTGAGGCCACCCTGTCACGAGGGCTTCTCTACTCGGCCTTCAGGCTTCAGCCGGGGCCCAGAGATAAGCTCCACGTTTCTCACGCAGAGCCTTCAAGGCAGGTCATCCCCAGTAAGTCTTTTCCCCATCAGTTAACACAAAACTGCCACATGCACACGTCTCTGTGTCGGATGCCCCCCGCGTTTCCCTTCTTCCCACTTCTGCTGCTCTAGAAGGTGGGGTCCTGCTGGACCCTCCTGCAGAGGCAGTGTGAACTCCCCTGAGACAGCAGTGCTGGCGATTCCTGAGCCGTCCTCTCTGTCCGACATCATTTTGGACGACATCATTTTGGACGTGGAAACCACAGACCAGAGTCTAGCACTAGCTCTGTGAGAAGACACAACAAAACCAAACTGAGAGATGGCCACCCGCACTCGCTGTACTGCCGTCGGGAAAACCCTTCCCAGGCCCACCTCTGGCGCCGAACCTCAGATTGGGCCAGGAGCCCCCTCTGGCACTGGGCGCTGAACCCCGGAAGACCGCACGTCTAGGCCATTTCCAGGGTCACTGATGCAGGGCTGGGTTCAGTCCTGCATGCGCGGTGCTAACACAGGCCCGGGACCCCCTGGTGGCCACACGGGATCCCCCACAGCTGCTGTTAGAGGAGCACCGGTGCCCTGCGCGGGAAAAGGACCGACACAGTGGGGCGTGGTGGCCGTGCCCTCCTGTCATCCTGACCGCTTCTGAGGCTAGGCAGGAAGATCACAAGTTCGAGTCCCCCGCCTGGGCAATTTAGCAAGACCCTGTCTCCAAAAACAAACAAACGAAGGTGTGGCACAGTGGAAGAGCATCCTTGCACTCCACCCCAGTACTACAGAAAGAAAACAGGACCAACCCAAACCAAGGAACTCAGCCAGACGCAGGTGTCCTCGGGTGTGGTCCCCACTTCAAACTCCAGCGAGCTTCTCAGCTGCCCTGAAGGCTTTCTGGCTCTGTCTGTGAGACTGAGGCTCAGTTCTTGTCCTTTCTTCCCCCTTTCTTCTCCCCCAACCTTCTTGCTTCTCCTTCTTCTTTTTCTCCTTCCCCTTCTTTTTCCTCTTCATCATCTTTTCTTTTTCTTTAAGACAGGATCTCATCACATAGTCCAGGCTGGCCTGGAACTCCAGATCTCCTACCGTGGCCCCGCAAGTGCTGGGATTGTATGTGCGTGCTGACCCCACCCCACTCTATTCTCCTCTTTGACCCTGCTGAAGCACAAAGCAGCACGGTCTTCCTGTGGCAGGATTTCATGCCCAGCAGTGCCATAAAGAAAGCCATATCGGGCTGGGGATTTAGGTCAGTGGCACAGCACCTGCCTGGCAAGCACAAGGTCGTGAGTTCGATTCCTGGTACCAGAAAAAAAAAAAAAAGAAAGCCATGTCACCAACTGGCTGGACCACAGAGTACTGATCAGAAACGGGAGAAGGATCCCGGAGGAGTGAGGAGATAAGATGACTCAAACAGCCTGACTGAGCCAAAGCTTCCTGGGGCCAAGGCAAAGCAGCACCAGAGTAGGCCACCGAGGAGCTCTCACCCACAAAAGGAAACGTCTCAGCGCCACCAGGGCCATCAGGCCCTGTATCAAGCCATGAGGGATTTCTTACGGACTCTTACTAGACCACACCGGGACCCTAGAGCAGTTCTGCAGGCTGGGGATACAGCTCAGCAGCACAAGTGCCTGCCTGGCAAGTGCAAGGTCCTGAGTTCGATTCCCAGTAACAAAAAATAAAAAAATCAGGGTAGAGTAGTTGTGCGGGCAATGCGGCAGTGACCTTTCTGAAGCCACCTCTCAGAACACACAGCCAAGCACAGGCCTTCGGTCGAGGTTAGCCTCACTCTCGCTGCACTGCTCCAGGTGATTTGGCTTACTCAGCAGACAGGTGAAGCTTAGGAAACTCTAAGAAGGTGATTGACAGCATACCCCTTACACTGTTTCACCAGTATTAGCTGTATACAGTTAGTCCCCAACTTAGGAACATTCAAGCTGCAAACTTTCACTGCTGTGCTGTATAAGATTGACTTTGTCGGATACAAGCTAATCTGTTGTACAAACAATTCTCCCAGAACAGAACTCATTTGTAAATCAGGGACTAACTGCACCTGTCCTTCTGGCAAGAGTTTCCTAGCCAGGCATTTAAAATGGAGCTGTGTAGGACTGGGGATGGCTGGGTGTGGTGGTGCACACCTGTAATCCCAGCACTTGGGAGGCTGAGGCAGGAGGATCATTGCAAGTTTGAGGCCAGCCTGGGCTACAAAGTGAGCTCAAGGCCAGCCTGA